CTGTCTAACACAGAAAAGAAAAAAAAAGTGAGGCACTCTCTCATTCCAGGGTACGTTCTGATGTTCACGGATCTAGCATGTGAAATTAGTGAAAGAATGAACACACTAATTTTATTTGTCATTTATACTACTATTATTGAACAGTTTATTTTATCAGTTTATTTTCCATTTAATGTCGTATGCTTTTAACCTAGATAAAAGAACTCATTTTTTAACATTTGAATTTCTGCCATAAAGACATTATAATAGATATAGCTTGGTTCTCTCTGTGACTGATTTATTCTAAAGCAGGAATCAGTAAACTGGCTTTTATGTAAAATCTTGGTCAGCTGTTTTTTATGACCTTTAAGTTATGGCCAGTATTCTCATTTTTAAATGATTACATTTAAAATAGTTATATAAGTGCCTATGTAGTAGTTTCCACTTTAATTCTTGGCCAGCAAAGCCTAAAATATTTATTATCTGGGCTTTTGGGAGAAAAAAATTGTCTGAATACCTGTCCCTGTTCCAGCTGTTTTTATATAGATTTGCTATAGTTAGAAAAGAACACTCCATAAAATACCCATGTGACTGCTGTGGCCTATGTTTCTAAGGCTTTGTCTTTTCATGCTTGGTTTCAGCCCCAGAATGCTTAAATTAAACAAACCTTTAAGAATACTAAGAGTCAAGTAAGGTGACGAGTGCTTATAACCTCACACTGGAGTTGGGGGCAGGAGGATCAAGGAATAAAAGCCATCTTCAAATACACAGTACATTTAAGGTACATGAGAACCTGATTTTAAAAAATGCAAAAAGAATGTAAATAGTTGTGTTATGGAAATCACTGCTCTGCAGTATAAGGACCACTTTGGTATTTTAAATTAGATATATGTCAGTGGCTTAACTACATGAAACCTTTAAAGTTTCAATTAAAAGTTTAAATTTAGCAAAAAATAGTAAAAATTAAAATTGAGCCAAAATTATAAGATATACTATAGTTTTCATATAAGTTAAAAGTTTAATTAACTATATATTTAACTTTTTAACTATTTGACTTTTACCATACTTATTGTGAGGACCATTTCTCTATCCTAACTAAATTCATTGACTGGGCTTTTTAAATAGCAGCAAGAAACTGTTGTGGGCACACCGTCAGCACACTGGACTTCTAGACTGGACCTGGATTGATCAAACGACAGGAGAGGTGACTTCTAAGGTATGTATTCTGTTAGCTGGACATTCATCAATGTGTAAGATGTACTTTAGCCTCTTCAGAAACAGAAAGTAGTCCAAATATTGGTAATTTTAAAGATGGTGAATGATTTGGGTTCTTAGAAGTAAAATTTCTTAAAACTTGCTCCTTTAAAAATGTAAGTCAACTTACTATCTACCTCTAAATTTAGAAGCAATGAACAATACCCGAGGCCATGGCCGTTGGCCTCTCACTAAACCATGGCCGTTGGCCTCTCACTAAACCATGGCCGTTGGCCTTTCACTAAGCCATGGCCATTGGCCTCTCACTAAGCCAGAACAAGCTGCAGCAGCCTCACGGATGAAGCAAGGGGCAAGGGCAGCCACAGCAGGCGCACTCTTTACTCAGTGAGCTCTGATTACACAGCAAGTGTGCTAGGGAGACAGCACTGGAGAAACAGACGGAGAGTCTCGAGTCTCATCACTTATACATTTTTGGTAAAGAGCTAGGGGAGGCTGGCTGTGGTGGCTCATGCCTGTAAAACCACTACTTCAGAGGATTACTTTGAATTCAAGACCCCTGAACTACAAAGTGAGACAACAAAAAAATGGATCAAAAAACAAAAACAAAAAACCAAACAGAACAAATCCACAGAAACAACAAAAACAAAATCAAAACAAAACAAACAAAATTGGGAAAAGACAAAGCAAATCTTTTTTGGGGGCGGGTGGTGTGGGTTTTTTATTTTTACAAAAAAAAAAGATTTATTTACTTATTTTATGTATGTGAGTACACTGTAGCTGTCTTCAGACACACCAGAAGACTGCATCAGATCCTACTGCAGATGGTTATAAGCCATCATGTAGTTGCTGGGAATTGAGGTTGCTCTTCCTCTGGAAGAGTGGTCAGTGTTCTTAATTGCTGAGCCATCTCTCTGAGCCCTGGGTTTGGTTTTTTGAGTCTCTGTGTAGTTCAAGGTGGCCTGGAACTCACTCTGTAGACCAGACTGGCCCAAAACTCACAGAGACCTGCCTGCCTCTACCTCCCGAGTGCTCGGATTAAAGGTGTGCGGCAGCAGTTGAAGAGGAGGGCTACCAAACTGACGAGCAGTGCAGGGGCGCTGCGCCACCTCAGCTGGTCGTACAGATACACTCCGATGTTTCACTTAGTTTCAGATTCTTAGTTTTGATTTACATCAAAACTTGCATGCTTTCCTCTCCAATAAATTATTAAGTTTCCTGAAGATTAAGAATTTTATTATTATTTCTGTTACCAGTCTAAATTTATGTCCTATAAAAGCTAAGTAACTAAGGCTAAGTAATCTGACTATATGAATTATTGAGTGATACTCAGTCTTTAGAAGTTTAAACTATGATCTAATCATAACATCTGAGTATAAGCTAATGCATGGAGAGGTGGTAGTTCCAGGCTGCTAGCCATAATTATCAATATTCTAAATATTTAATTAATCTAAAACCTAGAGCTTTCTAGGTTAATCTAGTTATCAGGTAGCAACTTTATGGCTGATCAAATCTTAGGAGAATTAGAAATCATCTAAATACTATAAAAATGATAAATGTCTTAGAAAGCATCAGTTTGATTTTTGAATTGTGCTATGCTTGGTAACTTTACCTGTATATATTAAGTAGTAGTGACCTTTTATGGAACGCTTACTATATATGTCTATGATGCTGAGGGGTTAGTGGAACATGCCTATAACCTCAGCACTTCAATCGATAGTTCAAGGTCAGTCTGAGTTACAGAGCCAGCCAAGACTAATAGTAACACTCTAACAAAACAACCAATCAACTAAACAACTAAACAACATAGGAGGTTGATGATTAACACATGGAAGGTTAATCTTTAAGTGCAAACATAAGCGAGGATTATTTGAACAGTGCCCTAACAAAGTAACCATTTCCCCAACCTGATGGAAGGTACATGCCCTTCCACGGTTAACAAAGGTGGCTTCACTGAGCTAAATGCTGGTCTTTTTATTACTTTTATTTGTCAACCTTTATTCCTTAGAGGCATTCCTTTTTTTGCTTTGAGAGAGGGTCTCTCTAAATTGCGTAAGTTAGACCTCAAACATAATTCTGCCTCAGTCTTCCATGGAGCTAAGATTACAGGCATGCATTACTGCTGCTGGCTGAGCCAGTCATATTGAAATTGTTTTTTCAGGATGAAGGCACCCTTATACAGAAAATACACTGGTTGTTTAAGACATGTAGCCATCTTTCAATGTGAGCCAGGTCCTATAACTGACTCATTTTAAATTTGCACAATAATTTTAGATAATCATAAGCGTACTTCATATATAAGAAAACCGAGTCTCTGAATCGATAAGCAGTGTATATGAGAAAAATTGCTAGTAGGTGGTGAGTGTGGATTCAAGCCCAAGTTATGATGCTCTTAACAGTCATACAACATTACCACATTTTTTGGTTTTGATCTTTGAATGTGTTTCATTCTGTAGCCCAGGCTAACCTGTAATGTTCTATGTAGCTCAAGCCGGCCTTGAACTCACAGCAGTCCTCCTGCTGCAGCCTTCCAAGCACTCAGATTACAGGGAATGAGCTACCATGCCTGGACTGCCATTTTTAGTGGTATAGTAATCTTATTATACATGTGAAATGCATATATAATATATAATCTTGTTAATTGTGTCAGAAATGTAAACTGAATGTTTGATAAACAAGTCTATTCAAAATATATACGTGTGTGTGTCTGTGTGTGAATGGTCCAAACAGAACTTCACTCCTGTGTGAATCAGGACTTTAAAGATAAAACTGGATTTTCTGGAACAATGGGAAAGTTGGTACTAACCACACAGTTTTCCATATATGGGATGCAACGCACTTTCCTTCCTGGGTCCCAGAGCGAACAGAGGCTCCCTGCTAACAAATGAGGTATGTCCTTACCTCTTTCCTTTTACCTTTTATTTTGAGACAGTCTCACTAAACTGCATAGGCAGAACATGGACTTGGGATCCTACTGCTGCAGCCTCCTAAGTAACTGGGGTTACAAGCTTGTATCACCAGACCTAGTCGTTTTAAAGATCATTAAAAGGTATCTTAACTTCTAAAACAAAATGTTTCTTTATGTAAAACTCTACATGGAAAAATCATACAAGTGTAGTAACAATTCCATCCTCTACTGTTGCTACAACCTTACTCTCCATCATACCTGTCTAGTTTCTTTACTAGGTCATTACATTATTAGAAATCAGAGGAAGACATAAAGGTTCCAAAAGGAGAATTACTATCACACTACCAGGGACAAGAAAAAAGAAAAAATGTAACATTAAAGTAAAAACAGGCTTAGTTGTGCACACCTTTAATCCTAGCACTTGGGAGGCAGAGGCAGAAGGATCTCTAAGTTTAAGGCCAGCTTGGTCTACATAACATGTTCCAGGCTAGTCTGGTCCACATATCAAGTTCCAGGCCAGGCAGGACCACACAGTTAGACCCTCATCTCAATAAACAAACTAGCAAACCCCAAAATCTATAATCTCTACAGGGCAAACTAACAACTAAATGTAACCTTAATTTACAAGTAACTCATTAGTCATTCTCAGGGTGCCATCTCTTGATTTGTAAACTGAGGCACAAGCTTCAGGGCAGAAATACTGAACAAAGACACTTTCTGTTCACTTCTTCATACATTTGCTCAGAATAGGTAAAATTGTGTATGGTTTAAAAGTTCCATGTGTCATATGACTGTGACAGTTCTAGATGAAACAACTTTAAAAAATGGTGAGACTCTCACGTGACTTTAACTCTTGTGAATTACATTTTTTATAGTCTATGTTAATTAAAAATGTACCAACCTATCACCAGGTCCTGTTCGGTATCTTGCACCAGGGATCAAGACTGGGTCATCATCGCTGTCATCTGTGTCCTGGAGAGCAGAGTCCCTGGCAGATGGGTCTTCATGAGCTGAAAGTGCTATGGCTTCTGTCTGGGATGGGAGTTCAGGATTGGCGCTGGTATGCCTGACTGTACTCTCAGTACTGGTCTGTTCGACGGCTTCTGTCTGGGATGGGAGCTCAGGCTTGATGCTAGCATGCCTGGCTGCACTCTCAGTGCTGATCTGCTCACAAGTCTCCCTGTCTGTTTCAGACAAACTGCCTTCTTCTGGAACCCCACAAGGGCTGTCAAGACTTGGGTTCTTCCTTTCTCCTGAGTTAGAATCCAATGGCTCAGCTGGGAAGGTATCAAATTGTGCTGTCAGAAAACAAGGTTGTATGTAAGTCACTGTTCATCGTTTTACTTAGGAACTGACAGGTTCTAATGTGAAGTCTGATTCTAGAGCCATCATTTGGAAGTGACCTTTGCCTCTGGAGAGTTTACAAAGATTAAGGTGTTTAGTTTGTATATGAGCAGTTTTCCTGAAGATGGCATGATAACTCACCTGTATCTATCTGGTTTTGAATGAGGTTTTCTGAAAATGTTCCTTTCTCTGATAGTTCTTCAGGAGCTCCTAGAATTAAACAAAATGATCATGGAATCTAGCTTTTTAAAGAAAAATATAAATACAACACTCCAACATTTCTTTAAATAAGTGGCTTTTAATTCTACCTTGATCATAGAAACCTTTAATATTCAAATAAAATCTCACCCCAAGGAAGGGCAAAATGACTTTGAGGGTAAAGGCACTAGCCAAGTGCAAGCCTGGAGACCTTAGTTTGATTCCTAGAACCCAAGTAAAAGTGGAAGGAAGGAGCTGCCTTCACAAAGCTGTCCTCCAACCTCCACAGGCCTCTACCCCACAAAATAAATTTTAAGAGAAAATCTTACTCTACAAAGAACAAAGGTGAACCATTGTGGAAGAACAGAGAAAAATAGGTAGGCACTCAGCACTGAGGTGACCTAACTTGTCTCACTGTCTCCTTCAGGCGGCTGCACAGAGCACGGTGGGACCAAGCATTCCTCTTGACCCTCAGATTTGCAATGGCTCCCATTTCCTCTGGAACTTGAGGCTGTACTGCTCCTAGAATTACAAGAAGACACATAATACCACCCAAAGGTAACATAGGATTTTGATGTAACTTTCATATTTTACAACTTAAAAAGTATTAGAAAATTTAAACATAAGTACTTGATAAACCATTTTTTAAAAAAGAAATGATCACACTTCATCTTAAAAAGATTTTAAAATGAGAGCACTTTAATTCACGATTTTGATGCTCCTACTGTCTACTATACATTTCTATGTGTCTCTTAGTGTGTGTGTGTGTGTGTGTGTGCTGGGAATCAAACACAGGAGCTATATTCTAATATATGCTAATACGTCACACCTTCAGCCCCAGTTTCTATGGAACTTTAAATGAATTATACTGTCTCCTTTTTTTTTTTTTTTTTTTTTTGGTTTTTCAAGACAGGGTTTCTCTGTGTAGCCCTGGCTGTCCTGGAACTCACTCTGTAGACCAGGCTGGCCTCGAACTCAGAAATCCGCCTGTCTCTGCCTCCCAAGTGCTAGGATTAAAGGCGTGTGCCACCACTGCCCGGCTCCTTTTCTATCCATAGATATTATTAATGGTTTTATAGAACTTGATCATACTCTTTTTAGATTCTAATCTTATAGAATGTCTTAAATTAAGTTGAATGGAAGCCTGGCCATTTCTTCAGTCTTTTTGAACTGCCCTTAGTGGAATACTGTCTGGTCTGTCCTGTCCCATTGTGTGTGTGTGTGTGTGTGTGTGTATTTATTAAGCATTACAGTTTTGTAGAAAGAGATTATATTTTCTATTTTGGTTTTAATACCCACCCGATGATGGCCAAAGTCCCATTAGCATCTCTGGCTACCAATAATATTAGACTCATTCAAATAAATAATTTCTATAAGAAACCATGGTATGTGTGTAAGGAGAAGGTTGATAAGGAAACAGGAAGATGTATAACAATCTGAGATTAAAATCAAATTATGAGCCAGGGAGATGGCTCAGTAGGTGAGGTGCTTATTGTCAATCCTGATAGCCAGAGATGGAGGAACCCACTGGTGGGAGGAGACAGACAATTCCCCAAGGCGTCTTCTGGTTCTACACACATGCCATGCCATGCACCCACACAAATATACATGTTCAGAAAATAAATAAATGTAAAGAGGCAAATTACTAGGGATTTTGTAAAATCTCTTTAAAGCAAATAATAAAAATCAATTTCATATTTTTTAACGTGTACATATAATGATATTATTTTAAACAATAATGACCTACATGGGTATACATGCAAGAAAAAAAATGTCAGGAGGGTTGTACACCAGCCAAAGTGCTGTCTCTGTAGGATTATTTTGTCTTCCTTCCTTCCTTCCTTCCTTCCTTCCTTCCTTCCTCCCTTCCTTCCTTCCTTTCCTTCCTTCTTCCCCCCCTTCTCTTTTTCTTGCCTGCATGTCTATGTACCATATGGAAGTCTGGGGTGTGAAGCAGCCAGATGAGGGCATCTGATCCTTTGCAAATGGAGTTAATATGGCATGATAAACCACAGTGAAATGAGAAGAGTGCAAACTATATGGTACTGGGGCAAAAGAAGAGTGTGTGAGAAGCTGATGCAGTAACTCTCAGCATCACACTTGCTACAAAAAAAAAAATCCAGAGTTTATAATAAGCAGGTGATTTTACTACAGAACTATAGAAAACACAGAAGTACGATGAGCAAAGGTTTCCCCTAATCTGCTTCCTGAGCTCGAGGACTGCAGCACAGCCTTAAAGGACACCTACTGCAGGTGAAGCACGAAGGCCATACCTGGGAGACACTGCAACAAATACAAGACATGACATCACTCTAGTGTCCTACTACAATAGCTCTCATAAATCATCAAGAAAGGCGGAGACCCCAGCAGGAAATGGGCCAAATTCTGAGAATAGGAGTACTGTTAGAGCTAACGACTGTGCTGTGCGGGTGCTCATCACATACAAAGTGTACTAAGATTAAGCTGCTTTATCTGTAAAAGCCCTTGAAATCTTCTCAACAAACCTCAGAAATGGGTTCTTTTAAGAGTGCCCATTTCCATTAAAAAAAAGCTGGGATTTAGAAAGCTTCCTCAAGCTGTCAAGTGAGATTCCAACCTCACAGGGTACTCTGCTGCCTCATTTGTCATTAAAGACACTAAAATGCAAGAGACAATACTGAAATAAAGAAAAGATGCATAGTTTTTTCATGCTCTGCTTTATTTTCTACTATATTGAATATTTTAAAATAGAAATGGTAATCTTTGACAAACTTATGAATGATAATATAATTTATGATCATTTAAAGATAAATTAGCATTCAAGAAAAAAAAGAGAGTAAAACTTTATCTTAGAATTGATCTGAAGGCACTCTTTCCCAGCAAGACGAAGGCAGAAGAGACCAGGCATAAGTGATACATATGAGAACCTGTATTAGATTATATATCGTAGACCAGGGCCACAGATGTCATGTTTTAAAATGTTGTGGTAAAACATTTGGGGTCATTAAGGAAGATTGTTGGCTGAATCTTGAAACACAGTACCTAGATTCTGACCATCTTTACAACCTCCACAGCTCCCATTCTGGCACAGGCCACTGCTGCTGCTTATTCTGCTTCTGGCCAGACTTTTAATTGGCATTGACTTCTATCTATGGTCCACTCTGAACACAAGAACAAAAGCATCCTTTCTGTTTCAACACTGTCTTCATTTTCTCAGCTGACCTCATCTGTTACTCACCTGTCTCTCCGCAGCTCATTCCATTTCACAAACATGAGCTTCCTAAAAAGTCCCTGAACATATACAGGACTGCTTTGCTCAAACATGTGGTATGTCTCTGCCTAAAACTTTCTTCCCTACACACATCCCATCTTCTCAGTGATTACTAACCTTCTTTAGGTTCTTGACTGTCCTTACCTGCTCTCTTTGCTTCTGTAGTACTCAGTGCCTTCCAACATGTTTATACTGCATACTTATTTACTGTAATTATTGCCTACTTCCTCCACCTAAAATGTAAGTTCCAGCAGGGGGCAGATTTCTTTTTTCTTTTCTTTTTTTCTTTTAGCTATTTTTTTACTTATGAATGTCCAATGTCTAGAATAGTCCTTGGCACATAGGTCTCCAATAATATCTGAAGTCCTATTTAACCAGACTTTACTGTAAAACACATTTACACATAAACATACAAGGAAGCCAGTGAACTGAATAATGTAACATATCGATCACATATTAATCAAGCATATAACATAATTATATATTAATAAATATATTAACATGTGATATATTATTTGTACATAATATACTTTATATTATAATTAGTTACATAAATTTATATATTAATGATTTAATATATTAATGATAGATAATTAAAAATAAATAATAAATGACTATAAATAATTGATATAATTGTTATATAAAGCTTTATGTAATTATGCCAGTACATAATTACACATTGTCATATTGTCAACAAACAATCATAAACTACTAATTAAACAAGGTTAAATAAAAATATTTGGATAGTGCTCAATCAAAAGGCCTCTAGTTAGTGGGAAAGATAATGTTTACACTAATTGATTCCTTAATCACCAACAAAATCACAAACGTCATCAAAGACAACCAGTATAGCATTAAGTGAGTGTAAAAATTCAACCTTTCTAATAATTAAATAACAAGTAAAATTATTTAAAAATCAAGAGTCAAAAAATACATTGAACAAAGAGTAATATGTTCATACACTAAGAGAAATGTGACAAGAGAAAACAAACTGGCAATCACTTTTTATCTAAACAGTTCCTCTCTGGAGATATATCTCATAGATATGATGCTGAAGATAGGAAAAGTTTTAAAAAGAAAGACTTTCATTGGGTTTTAAACTCAATTGGTTAAAAATGGCAAATTAATTTTCCAATTAAAAGGGAATAAATAAGTAATCTACAGCATCCCTACTGAACAGATTAGTAAAATAACAATTAGTACAAGTAACTAAAGGAAAATGATGTTTAGTTACAGTTAATAATGCTTACTATAAAGTTATGTTTAACAAATGCATAATGGGGTATACTCAGTATAACTTAAATTATCTTCTAAAATGTACAACAAAAATCATGAGGATATGGTTATATACACATACACAGAGAACAAAGACTAAAATATTTTAAATTAATGCTCTCTATAGGTGATTATATTATTGTTTGTATTTTCTATCAGAACAAACATCCCAGGATAACAAACACAATTTGCTACATTTTTAGGAATGTAAATTCTCAGGTCTGATTCCATAAGTGGGATTTATTGGTCTGTAGGTTTTCTGAATCCTTGTTTTATGTGCATGCAAGTGTGTGTGACATGCACACGTACCACATGAAAGTGTTGGGTGTCTTCCTCTACTGCTCTCCACCTATTAGCTTGGGAGTCTCTCACCAAACAAGAAGCTCACTGGTGAGCTAGAGGGATATGCCAGTCTCTGCCTCCCAGCGCTAGGGCTACAGGCATGTACAGGGGTGTGCAGCAATGCTCAGCCTTTTCCATGACTGCTAGGGATTCCAACTCATGACTGCATAGCAAAGGCTCTCATCCACTGAGAATGACCCATCTCTGTAGATACCTAATCTGTGTATCTACAAGTTCTTCAAGGAATTTAAAATATACTACAGTTTCAAAACTAAGTAAACAGGAAAATAACAAAACTTAAAATGAAGTACAGAAAAAGCATATCAAATACAATTGTACAAAAGAGCGAAGAACATCTTTACAAAAGTGTTAACTTACCATTCATCTGTAAAGTTCAGTTTTATTGTGCTTGTAGTTGTTCCTTCTGTGCTGTAGTGCAAACTTAAAACTGGTTCACCTGTCCCTGGTTTGGGGCTCAGCCTTTCATTATTGTTATCTGAAAATTGTGTTTAAAACATTTGAAAAAGTTTCTGAAACCAGTAAATATATGACATTTCCTAAAATTTAAAAGAACTTAAGTTAGGTTATTGTCATAACTTTTGTTCATGTTAGGGTTCTCATTTAAAGTTTAAAGCAACATTATCAATTCTAGCTTTGTTTAGATAACTCCCTCAGATTTAGAAAACTACACGCTTTCAGTAAGGAATCAAAGGCTACTAACATGCAATGACACACTGTAAACTGGTGCCTTATTTAGTAGAATACCCATGGTATATTTTTTAGTTGCTTGAGCATCAGAAAGGATTAGCAGTGGCTAAAATATAAGATGAAAAGGCTCTAAACTAGCTGTTCTGACTGCTGCAGTTAGATCTACTGAGTTCTGTGTTCTCACAGAACACACTCTACCACAAGGAAGTAGTATACTGTGCTTTGGTATTTTCTAAAAATTGTTTCAATGTTTTAGTATATTTCAGTTTCTACTCTTTTTATTTATTTATTTATTTATTTATTTATTTATTTATTTATTAATTATATATGAGTGCACTGTAGCTGTCTTCAGACACACCAGAAGAGGGCATCCAATCTCATTATGGGTGGTTGTGAGCCACCATGTGGCTGCTGGGATTTGAACTCAGGACCTCTGGAAGAGCAGTCAGTGCTCTTAACCGCTGAGCCATCTCTCCAGCCCTCAGTTTCTACTCTTAACTAATCTTGTAAAGAAGTTATTTCTTAATAAAGGATAGTAATTTCACCTTAACATTTTATAGGATATATATATGTAGTGTCTTTTTTAAAATGCAAATAAAGGTGGGCATGGTGCTCACACCTGTAATCCCAGCACTTAGGGGGCAAGACAGGAGGACCTCCAAGATTTCAAGGCCTGCCTGTGTTCTGCAGTAAAAACCAGGCCAGCTGGGCTACAGAGTGAAACCTTGTCTCAAAAAGGAAAAACATCATTTGGCTGGGCATGGCTGCATAAATCTGTAACCCCTGCATTTAAGAGGCAAAGACAAGTGGATTGCTCTAAATTTGACTACAACCTGGTACACATAGTGAGTTCTAAGACAGTCAAGGCAGTTTAACTTAGTAAGACTTTGTCTTAAAATTAATCCATTAATTAAACGAAATGGCATATAATGTCAAAGAAATTGTAGAGACTATTGAAAGCCCTCTCCCCCCAAATAGCAAAAAGATATTCAAGGCCAAAATGAAGTAGAACTTTAAAACTTCCTATTTGGATGGTTATTAACATCTTGTAGAAACATGAGAATACGCAGAGAATAGAAATGGACACAAAGCCAAATATCAGAGACCCTTGGCTAGCTGTCTACAGAGAGAAAACTCGTCTGTGGTATCTTGTTTTTTGGCATCCATCCATTGCAAGGCTGATACAACAATGAGCTAATTTTCCTCAAAATAACAAATCACAACTTTAAAAATCCAAGTTACTCAGGCATTTTCTGCTTTTACAACAGCGTCAAGAGAGGGTCATTAGTCAACACAGTTTCCCCTTATCCTTTAGTTATCCCACAGACTATCATCCCACTAATGACAAGGCCACTGTTGTTTTAAGTTTGCTGTAACTGGGTTATGGCTAAAGCCTGAGATGATCAAAGACACAGGCAGAGCTGGAGCTTGGTTTGCAGAATATCTTATAAAATATTTTGCTATTTATTTTCCGTCTTAGGTAAAGAAGGAATGGAGGGTGTGGTGGCACACATCCTTAAGCTCAGACCAGGGAGGCAGAGGCAGGTAGATCTGAATTCAAGGTCAGCCTGGTCTAGATTACAAGTTCCAGGCCAGTTAAGGCTACAAAGTCAGACTCTTTTCTGAGTTGGGGGGGGGGGAGGGGGAAGGCCGTTTAAGACAAAGTATGCTGCACTCTTGGAGGACCTGAGTTCAATTATCTGAACTCATGTTAGATCGCACATAACTTCCTATAACTTTAGTTCCAGGAAATCCAATACCATTCTTCTGACTTTAATGGGCAATTCCCCAACCCCAACCCTGCCCAAAAACACAAACCAAACCAAAAACAAAAAAAGCCCCTCAAAACCCCCAAATAAAACAAAAAAACCCCATTGTTTTTGAAGAAAATAAAGACAATTACATAAATTCACATGCTACAGAAATACAGTAAACAAAAGCAAGAAAGAGAGAGAACAGTGTCAAAACATTTCATGAACATTTATACAGCACCCTGCCAACCCTCCCCCAGCAAGAAGCTAACAGGCAATTAAGAGTCATGACTTTTTTCCTAGAGTCATCTACTACAAAATTATTCAAACACAGTCATAAAATGGAGCAATCTTCATATAATCATAAAAGGAGTATGGCTGATTAATATTGTTCCTTTGAACTCTTAATGAACTCATCAACCTCGGCTTCAACTGGCCAACCAATGTACAAACGGAATGGACTCTTTCATTGGGTCCTCATACTTCAGACTCCCAAGTTTAGAACTTATTTCTAACTTTCCTCATTCTACTCTTCTTAGCATGATGCTGCTTTGCATGGCTATACACAATTTATTAAGACGGGTTTTCTCAGAATCTCAATCCCTTAGGTGAGGATGGATGTAATTTGGGGGCTGAGGAGCACTGGCTGCTCTTAAAGAGGACTGGCTTTGATTGGTGGGGACTTAGCACTGATACGGAAGCTCACAATTAACTGTAACTCCAGTTCCAGGGATTCCAATGCCTCCCTTGGCACCAGGCACACACATGCATATACAATACAATAATAAAATAATTTTTGAAAATGGATATAATTTACTGTGTAGTAAAACATATATTTTAAGCTAAATTTTAAAAAAAAGTACTTTAAAGACCTACAAATTGGGGCTGGAGAGATGGCTCAGTGGTTAAGAGCACTGACTGTTTTTCCAGAGGTCCTGAGTTCAGTTCCCAGTAACCACATGGTGGCTCACAACCATCTGTAATGGGATCTGATGCCCTCTTCTGGTAAGTCTGTGAGAGCGACAGTGTACTCACACACATAAAATAAATAAATAAATCTCTAAAAAAAAAAAAAGACCTACAAGTTAATGTCTTGTTTTTATATTACTTAAAGGATACTTATAAGTATTTAGGTTTCCTCTACTTTGTTTAGTTGTTTTAATTAGAACAGCAAGCACATTCTAAAAACTATTTCAAAGCCATACTCATTACACAATACACAGATCATTCTTTAGTACTTATCATCCTTGTATGATTTGTCTTCACTGTCAGACGAGGCAGAAAAGATTAGTCATTTCATTCCAAATAACCAATCAGTAAATAGTAAATCTAACAAATACAGAGAACCCAGAGTAAAGTCTCGTTTCACTATCTTTTGTCCACTAGAATTTAAAATATACTGTTTATAGATGTGTACTGGGATGGTAAACGCTGAACTAACATTTCCCATTCATATACAGGCTTCAAACATTTGCTATATACTAAAAATTTAAAATTCGATATATAATTAATGACTACTTAAAATACTATTTGAGCCAGACATGGTAGTGGCAGTAAGTCCAGCTACTTGGAGGCAGAATGACATCCAGTCTGAGCTGGTCACTTCAACTCTGTTATTAAAAAATAATACAGGACATAATGTAATTATATTATAATCTCAAAAAATAAAAATTATAAAATGTAATAAGTGTATGCAAGGTCCTGGTGTCAATCCTGAGTGTTATATAAATAAAATTAATGTAATATTCTCATGACATTATGAAAATTTCAATTTGTTATACTATACAAGTATGATTCTTAAAGAAATACATATTTAATTCATGACAAATTCAATTTTTTCTCACTTCCCAATCTGTTTCAGAAGGTTCAGTCAGATCAGTTTTCCTATGTTCTGATTACCCACTAAGTCTCCCATACAGATCAATGCTTTAACACCACAGGAAACCTACTTACATAAAATGACACACTTTTTAAAGCTTTTATTTAACAATTATCACTGTAATAAATATAAAACAATTTGCTCAATCATGACAAAGACTTAAACTTATACAAAACTATTTTCTTATGCCTTCCCCCAAATTAACTCTTCTCAAAAAAATTTTTAAAAACTAAAATAAGGGGGCATGATGGTACACACCTATGATCCCAGCATTGGTGATGCAGAGGTAGGTGGACTTCAAATTTTAAGGGCAGCCTGGTCAAATTGTGTGTGTGTGTGTGTGTGTGTGTGTGTATAAAGAATTTTCCCTTTAGGATAATAATAAACATAAAAATTAGATAGAAAAGTAAAAAGGAAAACTGAAGTTCTTATGAAAATGTATCATCTTTCTAGGCATGCAGCACATGCCTGTCATCTCAGATGCTCAGGAATACTTGCATTTAGTTTAGAATCACAATGGAGAACATTCTCAATCCTAAACTCTTAAAAAAGATATATTATTCAAAGGGGATCTTGGTGGTGCACACCTTTAATCTCAGCACTGGAGAGGTGTAGGCAGGTGGTTCTATGTGAGTTCAAGGAAAACCTAGTCTACATAGGAAGATTTAGATCATTGAGGGCTACACAGGGATAGGGATCTAACTCAAACAGAAGTATATATATACACATATATATGTGTGTGTGTGTGTGTGTATACACACATATATATTATATACTAATGTATATTATAAACATAAATATGTATATTTATATGTACATATTTATAATATACACATATATTTTTGTGGTTTATATAGGCCATTATAGCTACATAATATATAATATATAACATATAATATATATAGATGTATATGACATATATTATGATGTTAAACACCCATATATTTGCCCACAACTTCCAATTTTGTGAATATGACCTTGTATATACTAAGCAAGAGCTATATTCTCTGTCCTTAATTACTACTTTCTATAAATTTTTCATTTTTTGAGATTAAAATTATATTATATCCCTTTCTCTTTTTTCTACATTATCTTAATGAGACTATATAATATACATATATGTAAATAATATATATTAAAAGTTATATATCATATGCAATTTTTTCTAGGCAGCAAAGTTCATCATAGATACCATTGTGCTTTGTCCATACTTAGCAAAGGAGAGCAAAGGAGAACTATGTTTGCCCACAACTTTAAATTTTGTGAATAAGAGAAAGTATTTTACTCAAATAACAATGTCTGTTTCTTATTTTTTCCTATCATTTTGTTTATTAAAGAAGCATATTGGTGGGCTGATGAGATAGCTCAGTGGTTAAGAACACTGGCTGCTCTTCCTGAGTTCAATTCCCAGCAATCACATGGTGGTTCACAAACATCTATAAAGGGATTTGATATTCTCTTCTGGCACATAGGTATACATGTAGACAGAGTACTCCTACATGAATAAGTAATTTTTTTAAAAAAAGAAAGCATGCTGATTAAAGAAAATAAAAACAGGTGAGACAAAGTCAGGGATGGAGATACACTCTTGTAGTCCCAGCCATATGGAGGCTAAAATGGGACTGAGTACAAGAACTAGGCCTGGGCAACAAAGCCAGACCTCTGACTACACATTTGCTTTCCTTTTCATACTTATAAAGAGATACTATTCTTCTTTTAAAATGTGTGTTTATTATCATCTAGGTGACCAGGTGATTTCTATACCATTTAACTTTCTCATAGTAGTTCTGAGATATTTTTTTGGTGGGAGTAATTACCGAAGATAAAAAGTTACTAATAATACTTTCCAGTTTCATTGAGTTCATCTTACTGATGAAATTTTTTCTTTGAACAATTATATATATTTATTACCAGCTGTCCATGCAGCAGATAGGAAGGTGTTTGTATCATGAATACAGAGTTCTCATTGTGGGTTAATATCACCTTGCAGAAATGACTGAGTTATTTCTCAGAAGACTGTATACGTTACTGGTAGGTCAACCAAGTATGATTTTCTTATCTTTCTCTAGCTTTCCCATTTGACATCTGTCTTCAGTATGCTTCTGCTTTCCCTTTTTTTGAAGGTGGGGGGCAATGCACAGAAGAGCATATGACCAAGTAGATACCTCCAGAGCTGTGAGTCAAAACCTCTTTCCTTGTAACTGGACTCAGTCTCCCCTACCTTTCTCTTTGTCTCTCTCCCTCCCCTTAGATATATCTTAAAGACAAGGGTTCACTATGCAGACCTGGCCAGCCTGGAACTCATAAGAGATCTACCTGTCTATGCTTCTCAAGTACTGGGATTAAAGACACATGTCACCATGTTCAGCCCTTAAGTTCTCCTTAACAGAAAGAGAAAACAGACTAAGATACCTCAAAGACAAAATGTGAAGGATATCTACACAGATCCTTTCCCCTAGAGCTATCTGTTTTTCCTGAAAGCTTTTTCTTATGGTTTACTATAATCTTATCAAGACACCTAGACATAATTTTCTCAATTTCCGGCTAGTGAGTTTCAAAGTGTCACTTATTATTACCACCATTATTGTCATAACTGTCATATTGTCTATCTATCCCAAGCCAAAATTCTCTTCATTCTACTCACAAAGACTGTTAAGATTTACTTATCTCTCACTCCTACTGCCTGAGATTGGGGTTTTCACTGTCTCTTACCTGTATTATTACAATAGTTTCTTGAGTGCTCTGACTCTCTTATCCTCCTTCATTCTTATATATTACCCAAATGAACTTTTCAGGATGTAAACCTGGTTGTTATGCTGAATTTTCTAAACTGAAATAATTTCCACAGCTCTGATCACTTAATGAATTAATCTACTTATTTATTCAACAAACACTGGGCATGTTTCTGGGCATGCTGGCACCTTTAATCCTGGCACATGAAGAAGAGGCATGTGACTTAAGCTCTGAAAGTTCCAGGCCAGCCTAGTCAACATAAAGATTTCCAGCTCAGCCAAGACTACATAGTGAGACTATATAAACAACAATAACAACAAAAAACCAACCACAAGCCCCCTTCCCCCCAAAACATCCCAACAAAATATTGGTATATTTTGATATAAAATGATATCAATATGGAATTGATAAAATTCCAAACACTGCATATCTATCTATCTTTCTATCAATCATATATATACATATCTAGATAGATATCTAGATATAGATATCTAGATATCTAGATAGATATCTAGATAGATAGACAGACAGACAGACAGACAGACAGACAGATAGATAGATATGTGTGTATGTATATACATATGACAATGACTAAAAAGAGCACATATAGTCTATGGAGAGAGGTACACATGAAACAATCCTCCAAACAAACACATGACTGCAGATCTAATGAGAGCCATTAACAAGGCCACAAAATGAGGAGAGACAAAATACTATACACTTGGAGGTCATATTTTTGAGAGATTGACACTTAGAGGATAAGTAGAAACGGCTTAAGTTTGGGAGTAGGAACAGTGTGTAAGCTATCTGAGAGGGAAAGGAGCTCAGAGTGTCAGCACACTCCAGGCAAATATGGCAACTACCAAAAATCTGGTTATGGAGAGAAAGACCAGCTCATGTTTGGCCTCATGCTTGCCTTATAAGACACCGCATGGACTTCAGCCTTTCCAAGGGTTAAAGTAACTTTAGAGTGTGCATGTGCGCATGCATGTGTGCCTGGATACCAGAAGAGGGCACCAGATCTGATTATAGATGGTTCTGAGCCACCATGTGGTTGCTGGAATTAAACTCATGACCTCTGGAAGAGTGGCCAATGTTCTTAACTTCTGAGCCATCTCTCCAGCCCCTGACCCCCATCTTAACTTCCATAGTACAGTTAACACATATTGCCATAGGTAAACCCATGTGCTTAGGTTATTTCCCATCATTACGACATTTCTACTCATGGGTTTTATTACAAAACTACAACAGCTGTTTACAATGTAGTTTCTGCCAAACACATTTGATATTTGGCCTTATAAAACCTCTCTCGTTGTACAACCACATGGTAAATCACATTACATGGGCCTCAGAACAAAGATCCTTCTAACTTCTATCTCTAAGCTAGCCAACTTCACTAAATGGTACCCCCATTCATCCAGGCACTGAGACTAAAATTGTGTAGGTTAAACTTAAGTCTTCTCTTTTTTATATCTCAGAACCATATATAAATGAAGTACCAATTAAATTAGGTATAATAGTCAATATAAATCTATAGAAATTATTCTATATGGTTAACTAAACACGAATCTGGCTATAGTGTAATATACTGTGATGCTATAATTGTATCCCATTTTATTAATGTGTAAAGATAAAATATGCTTAATTTTGTATACCTCACATTTATTTATTTATTTATTTATTTATTTATTTATTTATTCATTCCAACCTCCTGCCTCATTTTTCTTATTGTATTTTGCTTTTTTTCTTTGTTTGTTTTTACACAGATTTTCAATCTTTCTCATGGTGATCTTTCTGCATCAGTTTCCTAAGTGCTGGGATTAAATGCAAGAACTACCACACCAAGCTCTATTTTTTAAGAACAAGAAAAAAAACCCCAGAATAAACAAAATCCAAACCTAATAATGCATGTCATCAAAAGGTTTACAAATAAATCATTTAAAACTGAAGATACATGACTTTCTAAAGTGTTTTTAATTTAGTTTTTGAACATTTCTCTACAAAGATTACAATTAGATACTACAGCAAAATTGATTCCCTTACGCAGTGAACTGGTGAGTTCTACATTTGCTACCTTCAACCTGTCAAGTCTTGCAGATTTCATGCTTATTCATAGCTATCCATTTGCCCTTTTCAATTGAGATACATGAAATCAAGCTGGTGAGTTGGCTCAGCAGTACAGGCACTTGCAGCCAAGCCCGATCTGATATCAATCTCTGGAACCCATACAATAGGAGGAAAGAAGTGACCCCTAGCAATTATCCTCTCATCACTAGCTCTGGTCACTAAGATTGCACCATGGCACGACCCTGATACACACACATACCACACACACACATACACACACACACACACACATACATTCACAAATTCAAGTTATTCCTTGTTGCTTAATATCGCTAACATTGTTATATCACAAAGCACTTTAGAACCCTTTAAAGAATTCTGAGTCGAGAGAGATCATAAGAAACTTGCCTTAATCCTAAAGTAAGCACTATAGCTTCTTACAGTCTTCCCCCGCACCTTCTTTCTATGTACCTCTTTTTTGTTAGAACGTCCTCCTTTCCCAATTCTCTCTGCACTGTATCAGATCTGCTAGTAATAAAGGTTGACTGATAAACCTGTGGAATGCACACTGTTCTCCTCAAGCCTGTCGTCTGAGTCAATACCTCTGCTAGGTTACAGAAAGCACCAGTGGGAGTGAAGGAGCTTTTCAATGCTGAGTGCCCAGCTTTTCATCTCTCTCTGGGTTTATGAGCAGAATGCTTAACATTGGGATGGCCACATGCCCAGGACACAGAAGGAAGACTAAGCAAAACCACTGGTGGTTCAAGGCCAATTTGGGCTACATATAAGACCTTGTCTCCACCACTAGTCATGTATGACACAAAACTAAGTATCATTACCATAGCCACCTAGAAATGTGTAATATTCCTATATTCAAATAGCTTCTAAATGAGCAATAGGGCAATATGCTAACCTTATACAGTTCTATATGATTTATGGTATATAGCTATAATAAAAATTATATTATATTCATTACCAACTGTTAAAGGACAGACTTCAAAGTTGTTACAATATACGCCAAAGGCAGAAATGAGCTCACACAGAACATAATCTGTTTAGGCCAAAAGAGTCCTTTGTGCGCAAAACCACACAGGATAATTTAGTCCATAAAATAGTGACTGAAGACCATAATCAAAATGATATGCTAAGCAAAAGCAAGAAAGAACTTTGTTTATGCATTGCAATAAAACTAAGGTGGATGGGCATAGCGCATCTCCTGTTGCACGCACCCTGTTGCTCATCAAGTGACATGGATCCGAGCTGTTTGTTAACCACAGAAGAAGGAGAATCTGAAACAAAAATGAGATTTCAACTTAAAAGTAAGCAGCAGAAAACTGCACAGCAATGTCATGATAATCTCTAAGCTTAAGAAACAAATGGGTGAGGGTGGGGAGAGAAGTAAGGGCTGCAGCATGTTTTCCAAGCAGTGAGTCAGCAGGGCCATGGGCTTAAGGCGTTATTCCAGGCAAGCATTTAGCAATCTTGAGAATGAGTTGAGAAAATCATTATTGTACTTCCATGCACATACCTTTAATACAATTCATCTAGCACAGATAAAGTGCCAGATAGTTAGAAATAGAGTATCTCCTCTAAATAGAAGATATTTTGCCCTTCTCAAAAAACAACAAAACAAAAACAACAACAAAACCCCTCCCTCACCAGCTCTTAAATGGCTTTCATCCTGCGTTGGGAGAATGAAGGCATGGAATGAGATGCTCACTAGACTTTGTGAGATGCTGTTTGCTATACCATGAACTGAATAAGGAGTCAGGATGTTCAACAACAAAAAGTGGTTTATAGGGAAAATAGTCAATGAATTAAATACCTTTAAGGAAACATGTAACTTTAAGAACTCTATGGTATATTGTGCATAATGAAACTACTCTGTGAAAGCTTAGGCTTCTTTATAGAAGTACCTGGTAGAAAAAGAAAAGCAAGAAGAATGCTTAATGATCTGTGCTTTCTTTTTTCTACTTTGGCTTCAAATAGTACATCTTTATTTTGACCTTTTGGACACACTGAGTCTCTATTTGAGAATTCATTTCATTATTGGGTTCTAGTTTTCAGAAAACACTGGTATAAAGGACATCAGCATATTGAAATGGGAAGGCCATTTGTCTGGTGTTAGCAAGTCTTAATTCTGATAATCAGCAACATTTTTAGGTAGATTCTTCTTTCTCCCTAATCAGCACTGGGATGTAGTACCTTAACACATGTCTTGACAGCTGACATGACACAAGTAGAAAATTTCACAGCTAACATCCTGTGATAGAATGCAGTCAGAATACAGATACACTAAAAGTACTGCATAAGATTACCTTGATGTTTACATCAAATGTACAGAAAGCACAAAGGAATACGCTGCTTAGTCCTAAGCACTCCCCACCTCACACACCCTACTAGTTATAAGAAAATACTCCCCAAAACCTGCTACTTCTGGTCCCAAGCATTTTTGGACAAAGGATACCTGACAGAGAGAAGCCCCAGTGCCCCAGCAGAGCTACAGCAAAGAGGGAAAGTATGGGTACCAAACACAGCTTCTATCAGATGTAAAAATAATTCCTAATTTCTAAGATCTTTTACCCTGGTTCTTCATGAATAAGTTAATAAGGTATATCTGGCTGAGCACCAGCTATGTTAATAACATTTTGCCCAAACAGGTATGAAGTAAAGATCAACCTTAGCTGAACAGCTAAGGGAAATACATCCTGCCTTCATTCTAAATGTACACCATTCGACTGCTTCCATTTGTAGTCTGAAGCCTGCTACCAGCACTGTCTACTGACCTCAAGTTCTCTGTCTCCTAACATCACAGCAGAGTGCTCAGAGACCCTGATAAACCATGACACGCAACTCTGAAGCTTTACCATCTTTACCCATCATCTCTTCACCAGAATATGGCTAAAAGTCTACTACGAAAGAAGGCAAGTGGGAATGGTAGTGTTTATTGGTTCCTTAATCTACCATATCTTTCTTTTTAAAATGATTTCTCCTTTATTCATTTTAGATCTGACATTGCCACCTGCATTATTTTGAAAAACAGACATTTTGTCTTTAGAAGTAGAGTTCCACTTTTCAAAGCAAAACAAAGTCAATTAGTTAAACATTGGAAAAATCCCCTTCAGAGTCTTACAAATTATAGTACATCCCTCTGGATTCGTTATACATTTCCCTATGTTCTCCTTTAATAATTAAAGGCTCCAAGACAACTCTAAAGCCACTAAAAAATGCACTTCACAAATAATTTGTTTTTCTATATTATGAAATGCATATATCTTCTGGAAGTAAAACATATCTTTTTCTTTCAATAAATCTTAGAAAGTATCACTAAAAACTAAAGATCTTTAATGCTAATCGTCACATAACTGTACTTTTGTCTTATAGCATTTAAAATAATAAAGCTTACATTAAATTAACAACAATAAACCCCGATTTTAACTAAAACATTTTCATTGTACTGTTTTAGCCTGTCACAATTGTGCATTTATAAGAATTACTTGTTATTCGTACTACTGTGTGTGGACATGCACATGCTACACCTAGCTCATACATGGAAGTTAGAAGACAACTTGTGGGAGTCAGTTCTCTGCACAATGCGGGTCCTGAAGACTGAACTGCAGTTGTTGACTTGCTCCTGGGGCCTTCACTCGCTGGGCTGTCTCACTTGCCTGACACCTTTCAAAGCCTAACACCTGTGACTCTTGGCTACTGCCTTCACTTTACTTCTAATCTTGGGAACAGGCAATTCTTTTTAGAATTATTATTTTCCTGTAACATAAATACGTTAAGTGGCACACTTTTCTAATACTAGGTGTTCATAAATGCCTATAACTCCTGTTACAGAAGTACTTCCAGTATTAACACAGTGACCATCAGAATAGCAAGTACCAACTCAATCTTGCAGCTGGTTGTGTATCCTACTCCATATTTCTGTAAAATATTTTACAAAGCATTATCACAAAATAAAACCCAGAATATATGGTCTACTACTGAAACCAGTATGGTAAGTGAACACATTTAAAATACTTAAATTTATATTATTTTAAAGGTAGAAAAAAAGTTAAGCAATATTTCATTCAGAACTAAGCTCAATATATATTCATTTATGTATATAGTATTTACTCTGTGTATACTCTTTACACACAGTATATTGTTTACCCTGTATTTCCCCCAGATCTGCACTTTAATATTGAGTAAATCCTTCAGTCACTTAACACCAGAACTTTTCCAATTGTAGAAAAACAAAAAGTTATAATCTATCGTATAACAAGACTTCTTCAGCCTTATTTCCTAGTTTGAATGGCTTTTCCCTCACTAAAATTGTAATCCTGGACAAATTATTTTAATTGTCTTAAGTTTCATTTCTATATCACAAAAAAGTATGCAGTATTCTTTTGAGGACTTAATGAGATAATCCTTGTAAGCCACTCAACATATGGGAAAGAATCAATTAATTCAACTACTACCTCCCTGTCTTTCAGGGCTATTATACTCACTGAAAAAGAATGATGCAAATTTTTCTTGAAACTATGGGGTATATATTCATTTAATTATAGTTTAAAACCCTAAGATTCACTACTGTTTTCCTCAGAACTCTAAGTACTTAAGGCATTTAATTAACAAAGGTTTGAAGAATTAGGTCAGTATCATGTCTGATTTATTAATTATGTACAAAGGCTAAAACATGAACCAGTGTGTCTATCTCATATTGATCTGAGCACTGAAGCTAATAGTAAACAGAGCCTGCTTGCACAGGATAGGTTAAATGCTGATTTTTTCCAATATGGCTCAGTTTTGAAAAGCCCTTTTTCAAAAATAATCATCAATGTTTTACACCCTTTGGGGGTATAAAAGTTACTTTTTTTTTTCCAATTGGCAAAACCGTGCCATAAAGTGAAAAAATAGTTCCTACCTGACCCTCTCTAGGCTGGCTCCATGCTCCAGTGGGCTCTGTGGTGGTTGGGCAAGTACCAGTAGATTCCACAGGGTGTTGTCACTCTGAGCAGGAGCCAGCAATTCATGACTTCAAGGGACCTGAAATGGAAAGAGAGACCTGGGCTTTTAAATCATCCGTATACTGAACGCCTTTGTTGCAGCTACTTGGGGCATTTGTTTGCTAAATGCACAAACAGCTCATTCTAAATCCTCAATGCTGTCTATCTTAAATGGTCTTGATATGAAGACATTCTGAAGAAGTAAGACACACTATAAGTCAGACAGTATTCTCTCACAAGTATTAAGAACTATATATTTATCTATTCCATCTCTATGCATCTCCATTAACCAGGGTAGGTCACACTACCTAAATATATCTTACAAGTAAAATGGTACTCTCTCACAAGTATTAAAAACTATATGTACACATTGTCTATCCTATCTCTATGTCATCTGTTACATGGAGTAGGCTATACTCCCTAAATAAACTGGTAACTGAGAAAGTCACAGACAACAGCCAAATGAATTGCCCAAGCTTATCTAGTCATAAGGTAAGGAAAATGATTTCAACTAGTTTCAGACCCAGATAATGAGGAGATGAAGAAGGAGGAGGAAGAAGAGGAAGAGGAGGAAAAGGAAGAGGAGGAAGAAAAAGAAGAGGAAGAAGAGGAGGAGGAGGAAGAAGAGGAGGAGGAGGAGGAAGAGGAGGAGGAGCATAAGCAGTTGCTGCTGCTGCTTTTTAGGATTAAAAAAAGAAAGTACCTCTAAACTTGATTGGGTTTGATTCACAAGACCCAACCAGTGGAAGCGATTCCTTGCAAGTTACCCTGTGACCTACATACATATGCTGTAGTACACCTCAGGCCCCCAGAAAAATAAATACAATTGAAACTAATCAAGCTAGCTAGTGGTAGCACATGCTTATCATCTTAGCACTCAGAAGGATAAGGCTTGGACAGCAAACTCAAAGCCAGCCTGAGCTAGGCAGCAAGAACATATCTAAAACAAACAAATCCCAAATAAGAAAACCAAATTGCCCTAATTCTAGCTAGCACTCAGAGAGATGAGAAGAGAGACTACAAGTTTGGGAACATCTGAGGGTGAATAGTGAGATTCTGTCTCAAAATACTGCAAACAACAAAACCACTGATTTATTATAAGTTATGTTGTATCTCCTAAAAAATGAGGTGTAGTATAATCCATAAATGACTTATGGTGTACTTTCTAACTTCTAGAAGAAAAATGTATTAAAAAAAAACTAAATAGAAGGCTGGAGAGAGAGAGCTCAATGGTTAAAAGAACTTGCTGCTCTTGCTGGAGTCTGAGGTTGGGTTCCTATCACCCATGTCTGGTG